TATACATTGTGGTCAGATGAATGATTGAAAAAGACAAAAAAGTCAGTGATCTGAGGCTTTTTCCTTAAGATCCAGAATATTAGAGTAATTTTAGTAGGTTTACTACATGTGTACATCATATTAACTGTGAAGAAATAAATATATAAAACTTACAAAATAAAGTGTTGTTGTAAGTCAAGGCTGAAGAGGAACAAGGTCTTCTTATATATTAAAAGATACGTCAGTTCTCCAGTTAATTATCTCACCTTCATAAGCCATTGAGCATCTACAGATGTAAAGAGAATGGCAAAACTTCAAAAAGCTGACGATGTGCAGTCTTGTCAGTTTTCCAAAAGCACTTTTAAACTGCAGCGTCAACATTCTGATGCACAATTGTAAAACCTTCACAAGCACATTGCATTGTGATGTGAACAGTGAACAACTGACACAGTCGATACCGTATGTGTTCTTCACTTCAGATGTCTCATCCTGAACTCACCGATTAAGTTTGCCATTAGGATCTATACCAGAACCATCGAAGGTAAGTGTCCTGATGGAAGGTAACATCCAGTGTACAGAATGTTTGATGAAAATCTCGGCTTTTAAGCAACACCCTTCGCATTCGCCATATAAATATTTAGTATAGATGGCGCTGTGCAAGAGGTGAGACTCTGGATTTGTAATGGACTGCGGCCAGTATCAGCAACAGGTTCAACGCCTGCTTTCTAAGAAACTTGTGCGAGGAGGGAAAAGGTTCTGGCACTGCAATAGATATTACCAGGGTGCAGACATTGATGTATATTGTGAATTGTAATTTATCAGAAAGACTCAAGGCCGAGAGCTTCAATCTGATTGGTTAAAAGTTAAGGAAACAATACAGGAGCTGTCCAATGAAATTTCTTTATACAATAATTATTCTTATTTATTGTTTTGTAAACAAAGCAAAGAGACAATGTCTACACAGTCGCTGGTAAGTTTTATTTTTTATTCCAAACTGAAATCCTGTATCAAGTTTAAAGTAAGCCCACATGCCGCCTTTTTACAGTGTTGTTCATGATTTCTTAATGATTATTTAACATTCTAAACGAAATTCTTGAAAATTTCTTGTCACACAATTAACGTTTTGATGATCATTCTTGTAATGGTACAAATGTTTTTTTATTTTTATACAAAAACTATCAAATGAAGATACAGAAATCTATTATTTGTATCTTGTTTAACTAAAATTTCATTTATTAAATTATACTAATTGCAGATGACATCTGATATGGAGATTGAAATAAACAAAAAAGAACAGTGTGCTCGTAAGTTGTGTGTTAGTTTGTTTGACTGTATGTTTTTGATAAATGGGCTAGCTGGCATTACATTACAGTGGGCCTAAAACAACTAATTAATTTCTTTGTAATATGAAAGTAAGATATCCCATACTTTATTTACTTTAATTAAGTGGTCAATTTGGATGCCTGTAGTGAAATTATCAAAAAGATATATTGATAGGATTTCTTTCTATTTTACTTTTTTGAACAGCCAAAGCCACTGTCAGACTAATTTTGAGAGAAAACCTGTTGAAAGCAAAAGTGGTGGGCAGGGGAACTGCCCTTGGAGGCTGGGACACCCAGCGTGGCATTAACATGTCAAGGACCACCAGCATGGGTGTCCCGTCTCTAAGGGCAGAGTTTCTCCTGTCCAAGGGCTCAAAAATATGGAATGGAAATTCATAAAGCCACAAAATGTAAGTATTATATCTTTTTACAAAAGTAATGATCTAAGGTAAAAATGATTTTCTTTGAAATTGAAAAAGAAAATTTAAAGTCTGGCATGTTTAAGTATTTGATTTATTAGTAATTGTATATATTTATAAAATTATATTAAAATTATAATTATTAAAATTATATTTATCTTCTTAAAAATTAATGCTTTTGCTGTGTAAAGATTGAACATACATAATGTTATCTTTAAAATTCAATTCAATTCTATTCTTTCAGGTGATACCAAAGAATAGAACAATGAAGCAGTAGTTAAGACCCTAAGTATTGAGAAGCTAGGTAAGACAGGGATTTCAGTAAAATAGACTTTTAATATACTTATGAAACATGTGTGCACGATTTCAGTAAAATTGACTTTTAATATACTTATGAAACATGTGTGCACACACACATACACTAACAAACACACATTCACACACCTTCATTACACACTGCAAGCATGTTCCTCAAACAAAGTCTGGTCTTTAGCTTAAGAAGATAATTTATTTATTCTTAAAGCTAATTAAGTCTTTGAATGTGTCTTTGTAATGCTGAATCCTATTGCACAAATATGGAATGTAAAGTTTTTAATTGATGTAATTTTTTCTTTAGCTGATATCAAAGACACAAAGAGTGTGTCAGATGCTGAGGGCATCAAAGAAAAAGGTAAGACAGTAAGGTCAATTTAACAGGAACTCATTTAACAAAATTAAAAAGTGTAAACACACACAGATGTACTTTAGGGTGGAGACTCGCACAAACACTGAGTTAAAATTCACTGTTCCATTATCTAGCATGCATGCGCATGTGCACACACACATACACGCACACACACATACATGCACACTATGTTACACAGTATGTCTGGCCTTTGACAGTCTTAAGAAGATATTTTAACTTCAGAAAAATGAATGCTCTTGCTGTGTAATTATTGAACACACTTGGTATTCCTTAAAATTCAATTCTGTTCTTTCAGGTGATACCAAAGAAGACAACAATGTAGCAATTGTTAAGACCCTAAGTATTGAGGAGCTAGGTATAGTAAGGCTGGAATCTCAGTAAAGTAATTGTGAATTTTAATATACTTATGACACACACACACACACACACACACACACACACACACACACATGTTGCTCAAACAAAGTCTCGTCTTTAGCATACTTAAGAAGATAATTTTTAAAGTCATTTATATCTTTGAATGTTCTTAACAAATTGTAATGCTGAATCCTATTTGAACACGCACAGATATAGAATGTTAAAATTTTATTTGATATCATTTTTTCTTCAGCTGATATCAAAGACACAAAGAGTGTGTTGGCTGCTGAGGGCATCAAAGAAAAAGGTACGACTGTAAGGGCAATTTAACAGGAATTCATTTAACACACTTAAAAAATGTAAACACACAGATGGACTTTAGGGTGGAGACTCCACGCACAAACACTGAGTTAAAATTCACTGTTCAGTTATCTAAATCTTTCAATGTATCTTTGACTGTGTTCAGTAATGTATTGAATCTTTGTTGTGCACACATGTATGGGATGTTTAATTTGTTTTCCTGTCTTTCTTCAGTCAGTATCAATGACACAACAACCGTGACAGAGGACATGAAAGAGAGAGGTAAGATATCAGTGTCAATAGAATTAGGATTTATTTATTACACTGACGGAATGTGATTGTGCATGTACACACACACAGCGTATTGATGTGTAAACACAGTATGGCCCTTATTCAAGTTTTACTTGTCTAATTTGTTTATTCTAAATAATTGTAAAAGATTTTCAGTACAGTTCCATGCATGAAATAATGTGGTGCACTGACTACATATTGAAGGTTATATATTATTGCATATTAGTAAGGTAATATTGCGTCATATATTTCAGCTTCCAAGGACAGACGCCCATCTAGGTGGAGAAAATTTTTAAGTCTTTTCACGTCTTGCTTCAGACGAAGATCAAGAACATAAATGGTTATTATTACTATTGTTGTTGTTGTTATTAAATAAATCTAATCGCTCCTGATATTTAGAAATTTGACAGCATTTAAAAATAGAACAGATTCATTATACAGTCACAAGGAAGTTCTTTTGTTTGTTTCCTTGTTTTGATGGCATCATAACTAAGTAAACTTTCAGTTTTTAAGAGGTACACTATGTCAAACAGCTGGTAAAACATGTACAGTAATTATATGATAGCAGCTGGGAGCTACTGGTTATAGAGTTACTGTCAACATCTTTTTACAGCTAATACATTTTAACTGAATTATGTTTTAATATTTTCATCTTCTTATTTTTCAGGGTCATCATTGCAGAACTACTATTGCCTCTGAAGTAGCCAGTTAAAAACTTCAAATGACATTCTCTTAATTTTACAATAAAGTATAAATTTTGTGTAATCAAACGTGTTTTGTTTTTCTTTCTTTTCTTAAATGAGACAATGATTCAACAACTTAAACATGACAAAAACAATTTCTTTAAAAAAAATCATTTTATTGCTTGTGAGCAAACTGAAAAGAAAAAAATTTAATCACTTAGTTGTCTCAGTTAATGGGTCAAAGTTTAAACAGACAATACAGTCCCACACATTTTGATATTTTTATTAAAATTTTATTTAAATTTTATTAAAATTTTATTTTATTTTAATTAAAATTTTGATAAAAGGCTGTAAACAAAAATAAGTTTTACATACTATATCAGTCTTTTGCGATGACTCATGAATCATCCAATGGGACTACTATAAATTTTTGGGGAAAAATGAAATAATCTTATTGCCAAAAATTAATGTTGCTTGCTATAACATATGAATCTTCCAATGGGGCTATCATAAAAGTTGTGGAAAACAGAATGAAAAAATATTAATTCTAAATATCAGTGTTGTCTTATATAAAACTGTCTTGACACCAGAAAATTATGAATTTTAAAGTGATACACTCTAAATAGTTTCTCTGCTCCCAATTACTGCTGAGTTTTAAGTAACTTTGAGAATAAAAACATGTCTTAGTTCTACTGGTCAAGATTTGCATTTGATGAAATGCACCAAATTTGTCCTTGCTGTCATCCTGAGAGGGAGGTGGTCTCCTATAGGCTTCTCTTCTGTTAATTAATCTGGAAAAATGTCACAATATGTCTTCAGATGATATCCATCGCTTAAATTGATCAAAATGTCTTTAAATAAATATTAAATACCCAACTGCAGGAATCATTTTAGTAAGAAAAAATGACACTTTTTCGTATTGTCCACTATGCAGATAATGCAACAGCTAATGAATTGCTAATGATTAAATAAATTAATTTATACCACAAGAAGCAGTTTTACCTTAGCTATTAGCTGTGGTACCATATGGTCTGGAGTTTGATTGCTACCCTGATCTCCATGACAACAGGTCCAGATGATTGTCTGCAAACACATCAGAGCCTCAGCAACCATCCACAATTCCTGGTCTTTGGTCACTACTTCCACAAGAAATGTGCCAAAATTCTGAAGGAAAAAAACTCTACATCAAAACTGGCAAATATACAGATACCAAGCAGCAACCAAAATTCCAACAAGATTAGCAAAAGAGTTTTAAAAGTTCTAAAAGCAATCAAAGTGTTCACCTTAACTTGGACATAAAAAGGAATCTTATTATGTCCAAGATCTTAACAACAGGCTAAAGAAGTAAATGTTTTTTACTCTTCACAAGCTCTGTTGGTTTTATGATCACCTTGTGGGGAACCCCCTTAAGACCATGCCGGGGCCCCACATTACATAAAATAAAGTTATGTTGTAACTTCACTAGAATATATTTTACTACACAAACAGTTACATGGTACAAGCCTCTCTCTCCTCCTCTCTCTACATATCTCCTCTACATATTGCTCTCTTTCTACATCTTAGGCTGTATTCCCAGAGCTTTTAGATCGATCTATCCCTGCGGGAAGTCTCTCTAGATTACTGTCAGATAATCCGGCTTAAATGTCCATCCCGCCTACTACAAGCTGTAAGGGGGTAATTAACTTTCGACTGACAGCTATTTAGCGTGAACCCCCAGGGAGTTAGGTCGATCTAAAGTAGATCGATCTAATCTCTGGAAATGGGGTCTTACTCTCTCCCTCTACATATTGCTTTTCTATCTCTCCCCCCTAGATTTAAGTTCACAGATTTTTATACTAAGCTTTATCAGTTAAACTGTCAATCACATAGCTTAGAAACTGATTGGTTACTTCATACACAAGTCCACCCTCTTCTTGGTGGTCACTCCTAATAATACCCTGTAATCAAATTCTAACAGTTTACTGGCTTCGGTACAAAGGACATAAAAAATTGAACTGCAAGGTGTGAAGCATTATCTGAACAACTTGTACAACTTGGCTTCCCATGTCTGAATTTTATCAAACCATGGCTTCCTCTGATTGAGTTACGCTGACTTCCCATTTCCTATAAAGAAAAAGGTTATGGAAGCAGCATTGATATCTTCGGTGCTGTATGGCTGTGAATCCTGGTTATGTTCAAGTTATAAAACGGCACAGTCGTCCTATTATGCAATTATTAAAACTTTATTAAGTGTCAGGCAGAGCACTCCTAATGACTTAATACTAGCCGAATTAGGAATACCCGAACTGAGGGCCAGGGTACGCGCTGCACAAAGATCCTATATGACTAAGATTCTTCAGACACCATCTGGCATGGTGGATGATCCTTTGATGCATGTGTGGCGGCTTTGTAATGACAACGCCACCAGGGGAGCCCGATATCTGACCAAAGTGGTTAACTCTAATAACATTATAGAAGCAAATAGAGCTGAATTAAAGAATCGAATTAGAAATTCAACCAGAACTAAATATGCTACATACTTTAAGATGAATCCTAACTTGTCCATACACGACATGTATTCATCATACAGTCTCAGGGAACGGGACAGGATAGCCTGTTCCCGGTTACGGCTAAGTGCTCATAGTTTAGCTATTGAAACGGGGAGATGGTCACGCCGCCCCAGAAATATGAGACTGTGTACATGTGGAACTGATGTTCAGACGGAAGAGCATGTAATTTGTTTCTGTCAAAAAACAAAACAGTTAAGAGAAGACTACAATAGGCTAGACTTTTCAGACATTACATGTACGTCTTTCTTTAACAATACGGGTGACATTAATACAATGGCTAATTATGCCCACAGATGTTTGATGTTGTCGGAGACGGAAAGGTCAGAGGATTAACTGTATATGTAATTTACTTTTTGTTTTGTTTTGTTTAATATTGTATTCTGCTCGGAGACGGTTAGATAAAAAATCTATCTATCTATCTATCTATGAACAACATGTATGAAAGTCTTAAAAGTACTAATTACACTTTTTTCTATACTATGGTTCCTGACAACCTGTACACACTTTCATGTGAGAAAGCTTTCAATATTTTAAATTGTTATCAACTGGACACAACAGTTCATTTAACACTGGTACTATTTGCTAAGAGTAAACCATGAAAAAAATTCTTTGAAAGCACAGACTTTCATGTCTATAAAAGAAGTAAAATATTTGTTACTGATCTAAATATTTTTGTTTGGTTTGGTTTTCTGACCAGCCATCAATACTACTGTGTCTACCCTCTTTCATTTTTTAATCTATTTGATGAACATAACCACAAATGAACACTGGCAGTATTTCCTATGAGTAAAGCTAAATTACAAAAAACTCAAATAGGTCATATAATATCAATTAATGTAATGAAAGAAAAGAGTACCTCCACTTTTAGACAGCAAATTCAATGACTACATCATTAAGAAAACTAAATAACATGACATACATGTACATATCTGGGGTACCTTGTTAATGCTTCCATCTCTGTCTTAATGGTGTGGTGGCTCACTGATATTACAGCTAGTTTCAACTAGTGTTTCCATGGTCTATTGGTACACTACCCTGAAAGACAAAACTTAACATGATCATAAGCTGAGAGAGATAACTTATGTTTGAAACAGAAAAGCTGGTAAAATGCAGTCACAAAAAGTAAAAAAATTGCACATACATACCTTAAAAAAGTCCACTCTTGCTCCTTTTTGAAAGTAACATGCCTTGATGGAGTTAATGAATAAAGTTTTAATACCTATAACTGAACTAAATTTTTATATTAATTTCTTAACCTGAACAGGCCCAGTAGCCGGAGGGTGCGTGGGCTCCCTCTTTTTGGGGGAAAATGTACCCTCTGAGCAAAATTTTATCTAAGTACACAAATATTGGATGGGAAAAGGTCCATTTTTTTTTCAGAAAAGAACCCCCCTCTTGAAACTGCCGGCTGCTGAAGGGTTTTCACATCATGCACAGAACCAGCCTGACATGTGTGACAAATAACTTATAAAATCACTTGACTGATAAAATCACTTCTTGTCTTTTAACTAGCTAGATGTTTACCAATGCTTAGTGAAGTAATAACAGATAATTATATGCAGTGGGTTGTGCAGATAACATCTTTAAATTATGGCATCTGAAGTATTGGAGAGAAATCACTTCAACCAATCAGATATGTCCACTGTAACCAGCAGTTAACATTGTCCAATAGAATGTCTGGATTCAAGATCTTAAACAGGGGGTTCCTAATACAACTTTATGCATTGCTCAGTACAAAAACTAGGTGCATTGGTAATGTTAACAACAAGTTCATACAGAATCCAAATGGATATGCTCTGAGAGTTGAATTGTAAACACAATTTCAGTATTGGAAAGGAGATATCAAGCCTTATCCAAGTGACTGACTGGCTCACAGCAAAATGTAAGACAGTAGTGTAACAATGGCTGACAGGAGTTGTCTGGAAAAGGAATGAAAAACAAAAAAAAAGGAGATTTTGTGAAAAGTAGCCTTGGAATCAGGACTCAATGTAATTTGTGACAAGAATCTTTCAACAATTAATCGTCTCATGAAATTCAAGAAAATAATTATACTGGAGAGAAACCTTACAAGTGTAGATTCTGTGGCAAGACTTTTATACCACCAATTAAGTTCTTACAGCATTCAGTAAAAATGTACATAGGAGAGAGACCTCACAAGTGTAGATTATGTGAAAAGACTTTAAAAGACAAAAATTCTTGCATACGTCATGAGAGAATTCACACAGGAGAGAGACCTTTCAAGTGTAGATTCTGTCACAAAACTTTTACTCAAAAAGGACATTGCACAGAGCATGAGAGAATTCATACTGGAGTCAAACCTTACAAGTGTAGATTCTGTGACAAAACTTTTATAGACAAAACTTCTTGCATAGTGCATGAAAGAATTCACACAGGAGAGAAACCTTACGGTTGTAGATTCTGTGACAAAACTTTTACAGACAATGCTGTTTGCATATGTCATGAGAGAATTCACACAGGAGAGAGACCTTACAAGTGTAGATTCTGTGACAAAACTTTTACTCAAAAAGGCCATTGCACTGAGCATGAAAGAATTCATACTGGAGACAAACCTTACAAGTGTAGTTTCTGTGACAAAACTTTTAGAGACAGAGCTTCTTGCATAAAGCATGAAAGAATTCACATAGGAGAGAAACCTTACAAGTGCAGATTTTGTGACAAAACTTTCACTCTAAAAAGTTATTGCAACGTGCATGAAAGAATTCACACAGGAGAGAAACCTTACAAGTGCAGCTTCTGTGACAAAACTTTTACAGTCAAAACTTCTTGCATACAGCATGAAAGAATTCACACAGGAGAGAAACCTTACAAGTGCAGATTCTGTGACAAAACTTTTACTCAAAACAGTCATTGCAATGTGCATGAAAGAATTCATACCAGAGACAAACCTTACAAGTGTAGTGTCTGTGACAAAACTTTTAAAGAAAACAAATCTTGCACAGAGCACGAAAGAATTCACACAGTAGAGAAACTTTACAAGTGTAGATTCTGTGAGGAAACTTTTTCTCAAAAAGGCCAATGCAGTGCGCATGAAATAATTCACACAGGAGAGAAAAATTACAAGTGCAGTTTCTGTCACAAAACTTTTAAAGACAAAAAAAATTGCATATATCACAAGAGGATTCACACAGGAGAGAAACTTTCTAAGTGCAGATATTGTGGCAAAACTTTTACTCAAAAAAGTCATTGCAACATGCATGAAAGAATTCATACCGGAGACAGACCTTACAAGTGTAGTTTCTGTCACAAATTTTTTAAAGACAAATATTCTTGCAAAGAGCATGAAAGAATTCACACAGGAGAGAAACCTTACAAGTGTAGATTCTGTGAGGAAACTTTTACTCAAAAAAGCCATTGCAATGTGCATGAAAGAATTCACACAGGAGAGAAACCTTACAAGTGTAGATTCTGTGAGGAAACTTTTACTCAAAAAAGCCATTGCACTGTGCATGAAAGAATTCATACTGGAGACAAACCTTACAAGTGTAGATTCTGTGAGGAAACTTTTACACTAAAAAAATCTTGCAAACTTCATGAAAAAAATCACACCGGAGACAAACATTTGAAATTTTAAAGAGAAAAAAAATTGCATATATCATGAGAGAATTCACACAAGAGAGAAACTTTTAAAGTGAAGATTCTGTGACAAAACTTCTAAAGACAAAATTGCTTGCATTGAACATGAAAGAATTCACACAGGAGAGAAACCTTACAAGTGTAGATTCTGTGAGGAAACTTTTACACTAAAAAAATCTTGCAAACTTCATGAAAAAAATCACACCGGAGACAAACATTTGAAGCGTAGACTTGCTGCAAAATCTTTCACTACAAAAGGAAATTGCACTTACCATGAAACAATTTACACTGGAGACAAAACTTTTAAGCAAGGTTTTTGCACTGTCCATGAAATAATTCATACAGTTGGAGAAAAGCATGATACATGCAAGTTCTGTGACAAAGAGTTCATAACAAAATTGGCCTGCATTAGCCTTAAAAGAATTTGTGAGAAACCAGACAAATGTGGAGTAGAATTTAATCAAGGGTATAATTGCAGAACACACAAAACAACATACAACAAAAGAAAACACAGTTCAAATAATATATATGGAACTTTAGGCAATGAAGGTGAGCCTAACAATGCTCCAGATTCAGAGGGGGAGACAGATGAAATAAGAAATGTGGAAAATAAACTGACAAACAATAATGCCATAACCTATCACATATACAAGGAAGAAAGAACAGAATACTATCATAAAGATGATGACACTTTTACCACAGAGAATGTCACCATCATTACTGACAATGATGTCTATGAAATACTGGCATGAAAAGGACCACGCCAGGTCTCATCACTACAATTATGAATAATTCTTTCTACAACATTTAATGATATGTTCAGATGACAAAAAAAAAAAAAAAAGAAAAACTTTTACCTTATAATTTTGTTATTTTTAGACAACCTAGGAATAATCATATGTAACTGCTTCAATTCTTATTTGTTCAGTGATTATCAACAATTATTACTTTTATTCTGTGTAGGTTCAGTTTTCATCAGATCATTTACTTCCATGATCAGACACATTATCTATGACAGATCATATATAATAAAAGAACTGTACTTAGTCAAATACATGATATTACACTAGAAAATGCCTCTCTTCTATCTTTATTGTTGAAAACAGATAGAGAAATAGACAAGTGTTTCATTTTCATTTATTTTATGTGTTTACTAAATGAAAACAATTTAAATCATTTCATTTTTTATCAAATTTATATATATTCAATGACTTTGTCACAGAATAAACAGTTAAAGATGCATACAAAGTCATTTTTGTCACAAAAACCAACCAAATGCCAGCATATAGTTTCAAGTAGTATAACTAAGAGAATTACCAAAAGGCATTGTTTAATTTTACCCGAAAATGATGTTTGAACAGATTTTTCTGCTGGCATTCTAAGCTGTATGTCAAAAGGGCAGGAAAGTAGGTCATGGAAGTAGGTTAAATTTACAACCATAAATTTAAAGAAAGGAGCAGTCTAAAGGTCTTTTATGGCTGATCGAGTGATCTATTCAGTTTATCCCTTGGCATGTCAAATTTATTTGATGCATATTAGAATCTAGTAGAAGTAATTTACATGTGTTACTGGGAATCCACGCTCTACTGATGCTCGGTTTGTATGTACCTTTAAAAAAGAAACATCATTTTGTTCACTGGAAATATCAAATTCCAAAGAAGATTAAATTAGACATAGAAGACAACACATATTACAGACTTTAAAGAAACAGATTCAATGACAGCTAGACAAGTGTGATGTTGAAAATAAAGAAAAACACCTATAAAATGTAATGCAATACTGTATGTTTTGTCGAAAAGAATTCAGTGTTATATCACTGTTCCCTGTATTACTGTCCAACCATTTTAATATTCTTAGTTATCAACTGAACACAACAGTTCAGTGGCAGATATAGAAGGGGGGGGGCTGGGGGTTATAACCCCCCCTCTTCGGTTTCTGAAAAACAGGCCTATATCACACCAATGGGGTCATGTTGATACTCCCTGCACCGTTACTCCCTCACACTGATACTCCCCCACAACATTACTCCCTCACACCGATACTCCCCAGCACCGTTACTCCCCTTTAGTAAATTTTTGTGTATTATGCACATTGATATTCCCCCATACTGATAGATCCCCGCATCGACACATTCCCAGTAATATTGTCGATGAAAGCACACTATTATTACCCCACACCGATGCTCCCTCACATCATTGCTTTCCTGCATCGATACTGTGGGGGAATATCGGTGCGGGGGAGTATGGGTGCAGGGACGTATAGGGATGGAACCACATCAATATTCCCCTCTTGAATTTAGAATTTTGAAAAGCTAATCATAGTTCTTAATTGTACCAAAGGACCCTGTTTGCTCTCCAAACTCAAAAAACTTTGGGGCCTTTAAGCAGGCCTGAACCCTACATCAAGTAACAACTACTGATCTCAAATTCTAACTCAAAATGACGCATATGAAATTAATCTCCAAGCTGAGGAGAGCGACACAGGCAAAACCTTGAGACATGAGCTCCCCCCTACTAGCTAGCTCTGCCCACAGTAACAGACATCGGACAATAGAGAGGCTTGCCTGTAATCTCCTTCTGTTGCTTTGGACACCCCCCCCCCCCCCTTCAAAAAATCCTGGATCTGCCCCTGTATATACAGTTTGTAGTCGCTGCATATGTAAAGGAAATACTAAATGAATTGTGCAACCTGCACCATATACCTCTGATTACTCTTATATCCAATTATTAGCACCTACCTACCTATAACAATAAAACAAGGCCTTTATATAGCTGAGGCAGAAGTGTAAACCAAAACCGAATATAGTGGTGCAATTGACATTTAAAATATATTTAGATTGCTAACTATGTTTGAATATTACCATACATTTTTGGAACATATGTTACCATTTAGGGCTCTATGCATAATGTAAAAGACATGGTAAAAATTCAAACCTGAATATCAACTGAGAAAGTCCTGGATTTTTGTTCTACACACATTTATGTTTTAAAAATTGAATACAACTTTGAATTCATTCAGTTTTATTTTTTGACACTTTAGCATGTGAAATGCACCTCTATATTGGGTTTGTGTGTGTTACTTTGTTTGCATGGCCTAAGTGCCAGTGACTCGTCACTGCCAAGGTAAATGTAAGTCGTTTTAAGTATATTGACTCCAACGAGGAACCAATATAATGACCTAGCTCAACAAGTAAACCAATGGTGTGCAATGTTGTGTTGACATTGGGTTAGTCAGCAGGATTAGTCATGAGTCAGCATTAATTCAGACATACATATAAGCCAAGTTGTACGAGTAGCAAGTCTAGAACTTCTGTTTCATTATTAAGCTGCATTTGTTAACTTCCAAGATGCCTACCTACAAGCTGTACTATTTTAATGCAAAAGGGAATGCAGAGATTACCCGTCTGGTGTTTGCTGCTGCTGGTGTGGAATATGAAGACATCAGATTTAAAGACCGTGATGATTGGCTTAATAACTACAAGCACTGTGAGTTTTTTTCCATTTGTAATCTTACATGTTTGATTCTCATAAAAAACATTTAGGTCATTCAATTGATTCTTTGATCTATCAGTTGTGAAATACTAGTCTTGACCCAGTGGCACCTGCTCTTACAGTTCTTGGTACATGTAATGGAAGTACCGAGTGTATGGTTCAGTGTGCCCAACAATCAGGGGACAAAGCATAATAACCAATTACCTCATTTTATGCTTAGGTCCATGTATCATATACCTTTAAAACAACAACACAGGTGTGGGTTGGAAGCTTTTTATTATAGCTTCGAAACTACGCTATGTCACTACATCTACAGTAATAAAATAATGAACAAAATCTCAATAATCCAGTCCTTGCCATATTAAGTATAGCACGTCTTCTCTGCATAAAAGTTTGCAACTGACCGAATTTAATCACTCTATGACCGGAAAACGAGACTTAAGTGTCCTGGATGCAGTGACGTAACGTAGCTGTCCCCACCTGTGTGTGTTTTAAATAGGACTTAAAAGATAAGTCCTTACATAAACCTACTACCAAGGTCCCAGGAAACAATTTCCACTTGATATTCACTGTTATTTCTCTGGCTATATCTCTAAATCTTTTCTGTACCGTGAGCGTGTAAATTTTTGGGGAAAATGATGTCATCCCCCTGCTGACCTTTGATATAGAGGACATGCCATTGCTCCAAGTCTTGTGATCATCTCTGTGATATACTGTGCAGGTACGCCAGCAGTGATGGCTAGACACTCCAAAACTATACATCCCTAGGCATAATAGAAGATAACTAGTTCAGTATTTTACATCTAACCTGTGAAACAGCATATGAATTTTAGATAAAACCAGTAGTGGTAGCTAGCAGCATTGGTATTGTTATGTTTCTGACTTTTATAGCCATTATCTTTGCTGTGGCCATGCACATCATTGCATTGTCTTCAAACTTATGGCAGTTACATTTTTGCAAGCCCATGTTATGTAGTTAATTATTATATAATATTGCATCACATTCACAAAAATTGTTTTGCATTGCTACTACGTAAGCCCTGAAAAGAAAACCAAGTTACTTATTATTTACCAACTGACAAGAATGATTCTTGGGATTGATATATAGCTCTAATTGTCTAATTGGAAAGCCTGCTTGATAAAATTTTTTAAAAATTTGTGCAATTTTTGCGCATTTTGNATTGATATTCCCCCATACTGATAGATCCCCGCATCGACACATTCCCAGTAATATTGTCGATGAAAGCACACTATTATTACCCCACACCGATGCTCCCTCACATCATTGCTTCCCTGCATCGATACTGTGGGGGAATATCGGTGCGGGGGAGTATGGGTGCAGGGACGTATAGGGATGGAACCACATCAATATTCCCCTCTTGAATTTAAAATTTTGAAAAGCTAATCATAGTTCTTAATTGTACCAAAGGACCCTGTTTGCTCTCCAAACTCAAAAAACTTTGGGGCCTTTAAGCAGGCCTGAACCCTACAACAAGTAACAACTACTGATCTCGAATTCTAACTCAAAATAACGCATATGAAATTAATCTCCAAGCTGAGGAGAGCAACACAGGCAAAACCTTGAGACATGAGCTCCCCCCTACTAGCTATAGCTCTGCCCACAGTAACAGACATCGGACAATAGAGAGGCTTGCCTGTAATCTCCTTCTGTTGCTTTGGACACCCCCCCCCCTTCAAGAAATCCTGGATCTGCCCTTGTATATACAGTTTGTAGTCACTGCATATGTAAAGGAAATACTAAATGAATTGTGCAACCTGCACCATATACCTCTGTATACTCTTATATCCAATTATTAGCACCTACCTACCTACAACAATAAAACAAGGCCTTTATATAGCTGAGGCAGAAGTGTAAACCAAAACCCAATATAGTGGTGCAATTGACATTTAAAATATATTTAGATTGCAAACTATGTTTGAATATTACCATGCATTTTTGGAACATATGTTACCATTTAGGGCTCTATGCATAATGTAAAAGACATGGTAAAAATTCAAACCTGAATATCAACTGAGATAGTCCTGGATTTTTGTTCTACACACATTTATGTTTTAAAAATTGAATACAACTTTGAATTCATTCAGTTTTATTTTTTGACACTTTAGCATGTGAAATGCACCTCTATATTGGGTTTGTGTGTGTTACTTTGTTTGCATGGCCTAAGTGCCAGTGACTCGTCACTGCCAAGGTAAATGTAAGTCGTTTTAAGTATATTGACTCCAACGAGGAACCAATATAATGACCTCAACAAGTAAACCAATGGTGTGCAATGTTGTGTTGACATTGGGTTAGTCAGCAGGATTAGTCATGAGTCAGCATCAGACATACATATAAGCCAAGTTGTACGAGTGGCAAGTCTAGAACTTCTGTTTCATTATTAAGCTGCATTTGTTAACTTCCAAGATGCCTACCTACAAGCTGTACTATTTTAATGCAAAAGGGAATGCAGAGATTACCCGTCTGGTGTTTGCTGCTGCTGGTGTGGAATATGAAGACATCAGATTTAAAGACCGTGATGATTGGCTTAATAACTACAAGCACTGTGAGTTTTTTTCCATTTGTAATCTTACATGTTTGATTCTCATAAAAAACATTTAGGTCATTCAATTGATTCTTTGATCTATCAGTTGTGAAATACTAGTCTTGACCCAGTGGCACCTGCTCTTACAGTTCTTGGTACATGTAATGGAAGTACCGAGTGTATGGTTCAGCGTGCCCAACAATCAGGGGACAAAGCATAATAACCTATTACCCCATTTTATGCTTAGGTCCATGTATCATATACCTTTAAAACAACAACACAGGTGTGGGTTGGAAGCTTTTTATTATAGCTTTGAAACTACGCTACGTCACTACATCTACAGTAATAAAGTAATGAACAAAATCTCAATAATCCAGTCCTTGCCATATTAAGTATAGCACGTCTTCTCTGCATAAAAGTTTGCAACTGACCGAATTTAATCACTCTATGACCGGAAAACGAGACTTAAGTGTCCTGGATGCAGTGACGTAACGTAGCTGTCCCCACCTGTGTGTGTTTTAAATAGGACTTAAAAGCTAAGTCTTTACATAAACCTACTACCAAGGTCCCAGGAAACAATTTCCACTTGATATTCACTGTTATTTCTCTGGCTAAATCTCTAAATCTTTTCTGTACCGTGAGCGTGTAAATTTTTGGGGAAAATGATGTCATCCCCCTGCTGACCTTTGATAGAGAGGACATGCCATTGCTCCAAGTCTTGTGATCATCTCTGTGATATTCTGTGCAGGTACGCCAGCAGTGATGGCTAGACACTCCAAAACTATACATCCCTAGGCATAATAGGAGATAACTAGTTCAGTATTTTACATCTAACCTGTGAAACAGCATATGAATTTTAGATAAAACCAGTAGTGGTAGCTAGCAGCATTGGTATTGTTACGTTTCTGACTTTTATAGCCATTATCGTCTTTGCTGTGGCCATGCACATCATTGCATTGTCTTCAAACTTATGGCAGTTACATTTTTGCAAGCCCATGTTATGTAGTTAATTATTATATAATATTGCGTCACATTCACAAAAATTGTTTTGCATTGCTACTACATAAGCCCTGAAAAGAAAACCAAGTTACTTATTATTTACCAACTGACAAGAATGATTCTTGGGATTGATATATAGCTCTAATTGTCTAATTGGAAAGCCTGCTTGATAAAATTTTTTAAAAATTTGTGCAATTTTTGCGAAATTTCAAATTTTCTCATTGTGGCATTTTAATGTGTGAAATTCAGCTCTCATGGGCCTGAAGCCTTATGCCAGTTACATGTTCTGCCTTGTTAGTAACAGACCCTAAGATTTAGGTTCTATGCATGCCAGCATTTTTCATTTTTAAATCTTCACATATCCATGCTTACCTGAAGAAGCAGATATTTCAAAATTATGAAGCTGCATGGACCTGACACCCAGATCAGGTTTTAGAGTCAAGAATTACCATTTGAGATAAATTCACTTATTTTACAGTAAGCCCCACCGGACAGTGTCCATTCCTGGAGGTGGAGGGGAAGAAGATTGGTCAGAGTTTGGCTATTGCGCGTCTTGTGGCAAGAGAACACGGTAAGGAATGTGACAGATATTTAAACTTTGCCTGTATTGTAGTTTTTGCTTAAATAAGTAAGAGATTACCTTTTAGAAAAAACAAGGCAGCAAAGCTGTTAAATGTACAGACAAAAAAAAATCAGGATGCAGAAAACAGGTCATTTTTTCAATTTTGATGCTATATTTAATAAATGCTTTTAATAGTCCAGTCAATCAAAACTGAATTTTAATCATGCACAACAGGTAACATGGTCAATAACAGGAGCAGATCCAGAGATATTTTCTGACAGTATTCCAAATTATCCATCCTCCATTTTTGATGCTCTTCCAACAGAAAAAAATAGATACCTGTCCATGTAAACTTAAAAATCTGACCGTCTTCCAAAAGACCCAGAAGACAGTCTCAATCCGCCTAAGAATATGGGAAAGAAAGAAATTTCACAAAAATGTACAACTGGAAAAGAAGCCAATTAGACTGCTATTCCAACTCAGACTGCATTTTAGCCCTATGTTTCCTTCCTGTAAGTTTAAGAAAAGTAAGTGACATGTTTTTTCTTTAATGGTCATAATAAAACCAGTGCCCGAAATAGGGTTATCTTCAATTTTGATGCAATATTACATAATGCTTAACAGCACAATGAACATCAGTTTTTAATATTAAAATCAAATCATCATGGATTTTCAGAAAATGTGACTAGCGAAGGTCCTCAAGTCCAAGGAAGTACAAAACATATGTGTAAATTTAAATTCTAACAAAAAATTATATAATTCAAGAAAAGTTAACCAATAAGACAGGTTTTAGAACTGAAGCTGTATTTTAGGCCTATGTTACTTTTATGAAAGTTTGAGAGCTGTAACATGGTTTTCCTTTAATGGTCACTATGGAGGCAGTGCCCAAAACAGGGTTTTCTTCAATTATGATGCAATATTTCATAATGCTTAACAGCATAATAATCATTAATTTTTTAATCATAAGTATTATGGATATTCAGAAAATGTGACAAGCAAAAGTCTTCAAGCCCATGGAGTCACACATTGAAAATCCAAAAATGTAAACAAGAGATAACTGTGCTGAAAATAATTTCCATTTTCAACACCTTTTTTTTACGTAAAAAAGAATAATCAATAAGTCATTTNAAAGCATAACTTTTGAAAAAAAAAATGAATTTTAATGAATAGTCAGTTGTTCTGTAAGTTCCAAGCCAAAAGGTTAGAGAGTTTCCCACTTACCGTGTTATGGGTGTTACATATATGCTGAAAAAAGTGGAAAATAAACAGCATAACTTTAATAAAAATGGCCTGATCATGCTGACTTTCAAATATGACCACCATTTTTTTTATTGCAATTCATTAGTTCTGTAAGTTTCAAACCAAAGATTAAAGAGTTTTCCACTTATCAGGTTATAGTTGATAGTGTACGATGGCGATGACGGCGATGACAGACACAATGCAGGTGATGGCTATATGTACATACACATCTGTGTCTGTACATAAAAAGTTTTTAAGGGTGTATTCCCAGAGATTTAGATCGATCCAGGGATTAAGATTTAGATCGACCTAACTCCCCGGGGGTTCAGGCTAAATTGCAGTCAGCCGAGCGCGCACCTTAGTTAATTACCCCTTACAGCTTTCAGGCAGGACAGACGCTTAAGCCGGCTAAACTGACAGTAATCTAGTGAGATTTTAACAGAGTATAGCCATCAATGGAGGTCACGTGGTCTAAAGACAAGCTAAGATATCAGAATAATAACTATAACTGCCATTTTTGTGGTAAAACAGAATATATTATATTTCTATGAGTTATTCACATTGTTTTTATTGTGAAATAAAGATCTCATACGAAGAGTTATTATCCCTTTAAGGTCATTTCAGAGTTTTTCTTACAACTTTATTCTTTCTTTCTAGGTCTTTATGGTGAAAGTAACATGGACGGTGCCATGATAGACCAGGTCCTTTACACTTTAGATGATTTGACCAAGCCACTTATCGATTGGCATTTTGAGAAAGATGAAGCAAAGAAGGTAGCATTTTTAGTAACTGGTCTATTTGGCGTAATGGTTAATAATTGTGACAAGTGGTGTATTAAATGTATCAGGACAATACCCCCACTTCCCCCGATAATCTCTCCCCCCTGACAATTCCCCTCCCTGTAATAAATATCAAACTGAGCATGAACAGCGTGATATTGAAACAAAATAATGCCTGCCTTAAATCAAAATGTATCTCCAGGTAGAGGCAGGTTAAACAAATCATCTCTCACTCATCTAGGAATACCTTTCATGAACTGACACTACTAATTGTTTAACCCACCCCCTCTTCCCCTTAATCAAGTGAAATTAGTATAGAAAAATTGATAAAATGTTTTATTAAAAAATGACAAGTAATGTCAAATTTGCATCTATAATAGCATCTTAAAGTTTAAAGTGACCTCTCAGGTCTGTTGAAGTGTGTAATGAGCCTACATACAGAGTCTTATAATCAATAGCCAATCATTGCTTTTATTTCATTTTCTGTCTTCTTTCTTATATTCAGTAAACTATTCAAGAAATGTGTGAATGTCTTAAGTACATAGTACAAAAACTGTGTATCTTGTTTCCTGGAAAAGGGATGGGGTTGTCTTAAGGGGCATTGTCTTGGGGGGGGGGTAACCATGGTGCCATAGTGGAATTTTGCACAAGTGACCCGGGTTATAAAGGACATTTTTATTCCAAGTCAGTAGAATAACAAGCAATAGTTCTATTGACTTCATTGGTCCTCCATCTTTTTGCTAGGCAGAGAAAGAAAAGAAGCTAGCTGAGGAAACACTGCCTGAATCCATGCAACGCCTTGATAAACTTTTAAAAGGAAATGGCGGCAAAGGATACTTTGCAGGAAACAAGGTCAGACAAAATACTTTTTTCCTGAAATATTATATCGTGCTGCTCATATTATAAAAAATTAAATGTACAGAAATTTTTATTTCTATATTCAAAATGCAGATGGCTGTCTTATTTATAAGTTTTTCAAAATTAAGTGAGACACATAAAATATTAAAATCTAAACCATTTTATAATTATTTTTCATTTAAATACTTGACTGTATTTCTTTTCACATTCAGCTCTCCATTGCGGACCTAGCAGTCTTCAATCAATGTTCAGGGCTGGTGGTAAAGTTCCCCAAGTGCATGGACAAATGCAAAGAATTGCCAGCATTCATTGACCGCATTAAAGCTCTCCCAAAGATAGCTGATTGGTTAGCGAAGAGACCGCAGACAGATTTTTGAATTACGTTTTAACGAACTGCATTGTCACTTGTAACCTATATTTTGGCAAATTATAACTAAAACAGGGACAACTGTTGATAGCGATTTTCTTTTTTACTATTTTCAAAAAATGACCCCTATGGAAAATGGGGCGTGGTATGGCAATGAATCACATATCATTATCTATCTTCCAACTTAACCAGCCACAGTTATAGCATTGGGACTCTTCCTTCTTAATCTGTGGTGTGTAAAGATTTAGTCAATTTTTGTTAAATAAAAAGGGAAGTGAAATTGCTTATAATTTGAAATGAAAAATTCATATTTGAGTCCTGCTAAAATTACAAAATCTGATATAATTGTCATCTTAAATTGTTGTCCCAAATAGTAAAGTTGTTGTTAAGGTGCAAACAGTGTGATGGTAAAATGGATTAAAACTTCAACATTCCAAAAATGGTTTTTATTTTGCATATAATCCTTGTCATGGTCGTTGCTTTAAGGGTGTTTCTGTGTCTTTTCACTCAGTTTTTGGTTATAATTATAGATATTAAAATATAAAGTTCCAATAGTATACAAGTGAATTAAAATCTGAAAGCACAAAGCAACACAGATACTAATTCAGCCGCTAAATTGAGCTTTAAAATTAATTCTTTTTTTATGTACAGACACAGATGTATCTGTACATATTGCCATCACCTGCGTCTGTCGTCGCCGTCGCCGTCGTTGCCGTCGCCGTGCACTTTCCTTGTAAACACGATAAGTGGAAGGCAGTTTTACTTTTTGGCTTTATATTTACAGAGCTGATGAATATTCATAAAATGCAGGTCAAGTTCGAAAATCAGCATGATCGGGCTATTATTGTAGAAGTTATGCTGTTTTTTCACTTTTCAGCATATATGCAACACTGTAAACACATTTCAACAAAAACCGATAGGCCTGTTGTCATGAAACTCACAGGAAAAATTGATCTTACTAAAACGCAGGTCAAGTTCGAAAATTGGCATGATCGGGCCACTATTTTAGTAGTTATGCTTTTTTTTCTTTTTTCAGCATATATGCAACACTGTAAACACANATTAAAACTTCAACATTCCAAAAATGGTTTTTATTTTGCATATAATCCTTGTCATGGTCGTTGCTTTAAGGGTGTTTCTGTGTCTTTTCACTCAGTTTTTGGTTATAATTATAGATATTAAAATATAAAGTTCCAATAGTATACAAGTGAATTAAAATCTGAAAGCACAAAGCAACACAGATACTAATTCAGCCGCTAAATTGAGCTTTAAAATTAATTCTTTTTTACTAAAAGTTACATCTAGGATGTAGTTGTTAATTTCCTGACTGTGATACATATTGCTATTATCTGCTGAATACATCTGATGTATTGTGAGTGTTTGATAACTTTTTCCTAACATTGCTTTGATATGTAATATTCTCTTCCAAGATTTGCAGTTCTCCACAGTCTGCAAGTCTATGTATGTCTAAATGCAGACAGTTTTAATGAACATTTCAACATGAAGCAGTGTTATCCAGGTGTTTTATGTAATAGAAGCAGGTGTCTCAGTGATCAGTATCAAGTAAAGTTTTCAAAGTAGCCTTAATTATAGAAAGATGAACCACAGAATACACCAAAAGAGATGCTGCAGTGGCAGCCTCCCCTGACACCCTCCTGACACCCTCACCCCCCTCCCCTTCGGTTTCTGAAAGACTAGTTAAATCATAGAGCTAAACTGTACCAAAGGGCACTGTCTGCTCTCCAAAACACCAAAACACAAGGGGGACGATGTTTGACCTCTCATCCGAGGCCTGTTGTTCTGGACCCCCCCCCCTCAAATAATCCTGGATCCACCCTGCAGACCATATTACACTGACAACATTCTGTATCAGTAAACCATACGTGATACTTAGCTGTATTCAACAAATGTATTTCTAGCATAATGATAATAAAAATAATAATAATGATAAATCCACATAACATCTTATTGTAATGAATCAAAATGTCCAAACATGGAACATTTAGCAGTTAAAAAAAGAGGCTAACCCATCCCTGTCTTGATGATCTATCTAGACAAATCTAGCTTTTCTGGCTACAGACTTCTGTTGACAGAAATTTCATGTTTGATCACAGGTAATTATTGATATCATAAACTTAGTACTGATAGAAAATCTATGAAAAATGCAAATATAACCCATTGACAGTGTCCTCTGTCAACTATAGAGGTATATCCTTATTGATTGTATGTAGCAAAATATTCACCAAAATTATGAACAATAGGATATTAAAATGGGCAGAAAGGTCGGGTAAACTACATGAAAGCCAGTGTGGCTTTAGGACAGGTCGGTCAACTATTGATCAAATATTTACATTGAATGCTATTAAAGAAAAATATCTATCAAAGAAAGGTGGGAGGTTATATCTATTATACGTAGACTTCTCGAAAGCTTTTGATAGAGTACAACATGTATTATTATGGCACAGACTCATTAATTGTGGTGTACACGGAAAGGTACTGAGTGTATTAAAATCAATGTATTCAAATCTTAAGTCTTGCGTACGAACGCCTGCCGGATTAACTAATTTTTTTGAGTGTACTATTGGTACTAGACAAGGATGCATGGTCAGTCCACTGCTTTTCATTTTATATCTAAATGATTATATAAAAGACTTAGAGTACAAGGAATGTCGTGGTATATATTTATCTCCAGAGTGTCAAAATTTACTAGCATTGTTATATGCAGACGACATAGTAAATATTACAGATACTGTTATACATCTGCAGCGGCATGTGAATGTGTTAAGTGAATTTTGTAATAAATGGGGCATGGAGGTCAGTACAAATAAAACAAAAGTCATGGTGTGTAGGAATGGAGGACCTCTACGTAAATATGAACAGTTTTACTACAAGGGTAACAAACTTGAGACTGTTTCACATTATAAATATCTTGGGGTGCTAGTATCAACACGTAATAATTGGTCATCAACTCAACGAAATAATGCGGCTAAGGCTCTACGAGCGATTACAATGCTGAGATGTTTTGAGAAAAAATGCGGGAGGCTAGCATATAATATAGCCTTTCATATCTTTGATAGTATGTTTCTGCCTATTTTGTTATATGGCGCAGAGATATGGGGTTCAAATTATGTTGAGGTGATAGAGAAAGTGCAAATCAAATTTTGTAAATATTTCTTAGGTTTACCAAGCTCCGCATCAAACGCTGCAGCCCTAGGAGAATGTGGAAGACTACCTCTGACGGTGCATTATCTCACACGCAGCATTAAATACTGGTTGAAATTATTATGTATGGGACGAGACAGGTACCCAAGGCAATGTTACCAAATGTTATATAACCTAGAGCTGTCCGGTGTCACGTGTACGGTCCGTTCTGCGTGAACCATCCGTCCTGACTGATTGTACACGCAGCAGACGCGTGTATGAGCCGTTCCGTGAATGATCCGTTGTTATTCACTAGTACTGTTATATTCGGCTAGTTCATTTCCTACCACATTATACATTTACTATGATGGGGATAAAATTCACGTGTTAATTGATAATTTTGATAGAGAATCAGCGTCAAATTACAGTTCGACGCATAGATGAACCTACCGTGGACGGGCCGTCGTTATTCAGCTGCTAGCTACTATTTTTGTATTGATTTTACTAGGCTAGTGTGTTGATATGACCACCTGAGGGAAATCGCAGTAGAGGTGAACATCTATAAGATATGGATACTTCTAAAGATTACGTTTGAATTTGCAGTATGTTCTCAACAGTGTTTGTTTATTAAAGGTTAAGAATGTATTGATGAGACGGACTGTACACGCCGGAAGTATCTCAGATTTGCCGCCGCTTTGTGCGCATGAGCAGAACGGATGGTTCACGGTCCGAGCGGTACACGCCACACCGGTAGAATTACATGGGCTAGTAAGATAAAACATGTATTATTCAGCTACGGCTATGGTGTGTTATGGCTGTCACAAGATATAGGAAATGTTGATTTCTTTTTAAGTGAGTTTACTCAACGGTTGAAAGACACTGCATTTCAACAGTGGTCCGCTGATGTGAAGGGCAATAGTAAGCTGAATAGCTGTAGTGAGTATAAAACTATGCTAAATGTGGAGCGCTATTTAACTGTAATTACGTCATGGAAGATTAGAAATGCCTTATCACGGCTTAGAACCTCGTGTCATGATCTAAAAATCGAGAGGGGTAGACATCAAAATATAGATCCCAAATTTAGACATTGTGATTTCTGCTGCAACGCTTATAATGAAGCATACATAGAGGACGAGTACCATTTCGTGCTTGTGTGTCCACGATATAATGGTTACAGAGCAAAATATATTCCCGGCATTCAGGCAAACATATTCAACTTTAATAAGCTCATGAAATCTGAAGATGCAACTCTCTTGACAAATCTGTCAATGTATGTGTATGAGTGCTTCAAACTTAGGGATATATACATGTAGAAGGCATAAATTTGACTCCTGTTACTGTAATGTAATATAGGCTGGTGGCCTAAATTAACGTAAATAAACATCATCATCATGTCACAGTGTCCTCTGTATTGTGGTCAACTGATGACCCCATCACTAATGGTCAGTTTACCTGAGTGTCCCTAGTGCTGTCTTCTTGACTTGTTAACAACTGACCACTAAGTGAAGGCCTTGGGTTGCCGGACCAGGGTGGAAATAGTGCTGCGATCACTCTGTCTTCATGTAGAAGGAACGTGTTCGATGTGCCTCCCCCTCTCCACACCCTCATTAGGACTGACGTAGTTGATTGTGAGACAGCCCCCCCCCCCCCCCCCCAACGTCTCGCCCCACATCCCGGCTCCTACACCTGTGTATCAAAACTATCGTTGGTTCATCTTCTGACGGGAGTTGAACAGTTAACGTGGTCAACAAATTTTTAGGGAGACAAAGACGTCAGAGAGATGTATCATGTTTTCTACAAAGTTCTACACAGTGAAATTGGAAACATGGGCTATTTTCACACTTTTCTAAAATATTGTAAAACCTTCTGATTATAAATTCTCCGCGCTCTTTTTATATTTTGCTGTTAAACTGATACTTCTCTCTCCCGTCCGTCTCCCCCTAAAATGTTCCACCCCAGAAAAAATCAATAATGCTATGGGAGAATTGTACAAGCAATTGAACTACATTCTACACAAATAGAAAAAATGCACGGTGTCTTGCGCATTGGTAGTTCACCTTACAAGTAATACTACATCCTAGATATTCATGAATAACTTAATTCTACATTTGTATAGAAGGATCTTGTAACTCGGATCCGTAGATGAGGAACAAAAAGCACCAAGAGAAGTGCATTAAAATTCCTTTTATCGGCATTTTTAGAAAAATAAAATGTTAAAATTCGTTTTTTTTTTTAATTTTATTATTATTATTTTTTTTTATTTTATTTATTTATTTATTTTTATTTTTTTTTTGCCTAAAATCAAAAGCGGTCATCGACTTGTCCCACCTAGCACATTATCATCAATTCTGTGGAAGACGTCACAATCATGTTGAGACAGAACAGACGGCAAAATATCACCCTGTATAATAATGATTATTTCTTATTTATTGATAAGATATTGATAACCCAGTGGGTTG